CCCGCCCGCAGCCTCCCGGGGGGGGTCACTTAGCCAAGGTGACCTCTGAGTCTCCCCTGCCTGGGAAGGCCTTGCTGGAACCTTCCAGCCCTGGACCCGCACCCAGGGGACACGGTTGAAATAACCCTGGACCTATGATTACTTTTCTGGTATTTTGCCTGGAGGTCCCGGGATTTGAACTCAGGTTCACAGGGCTAGACAGACACGGGAGCCACGCCCACTACCTCGTAAGCCCCGCCCCACAGAGCCACGCCCCCAGTGCTTGAGCCCCACCCCTGCCATGTAGGACACAACCACCCGCACCACGCCCCCTACCGCTGGGCCACGCCCACTGACACCCATGCCACGCCCCTGCAACGGTGAACCTCATCCACGACCATTTGGGCCCGGCCCCTCCCTGCGAGCCACGCCCACCGACACCCGTGCCACGCCCCTACAACAGTGAACCTCGGCCATGACCATTTGGGCCCCGCCCCCTGCGAGCCACGCCCACCGACACCCGTGCCACGCCCCTACAACAGTGAACCTCATGCATGACCATTTGGGCCACGCCCCTCTCTGCGAGCCACGCCCACCGACACCCGTGCCACGCCCCCACCGCGTGAACCACGCCCAATACCCCTCGGACCAACTCCTATTACAACCCAAGACACGCCCACCCGCGGGACCACGCCCCCCACAGGGAGCCACGCCCCCACCGCCTGAGCCACGCCCAATACCCCTTGGACCAACTATTACAACCCAAGACACGCCCACCCGCAGGACCACGCCCCCTCAGGGAGCCACGCCCCCACCGCCTGAGCCACGCCCCACCCCCTGCACCCGGAACTCCCAACCAGGCCTGTCCTGAGTGAGGGGGAAGGTTCCAGAAACTCCCCGCGTGGTGACTGTGGGAGGGGGGCCCCTCACCCGGGCCCCGGCGCCCTCGCGCTCGCGGAGCTGCAGCTGGTACTGCAGGCGGTGCCGCAGCGGGTGGTAGGCCGCGCCGTCGTCGTAGTCCGAGCGCCAGCTGACGTTGCGGAGTCCCGAGGGGGCGGCGGCCGCCGTCACGTGGTACGGGGGGGCGGGCTTGACTGCGGGGACAGAGGCCGCCCCCACGCGGTGACGTCAGCCCCGCCCACCGTGGGCGCCCAATCCCCGCCCTCGGCTCTTCAAGCCCCTCCCAGCCCCGCCTTCTGCCCCGCCCCTCTCCCAAGAGCAACCCTTCACACTTGAGGAAGAGCTAGCGCATCTGAAAGCCAAAGCGCCAGGCCCGGGCCGGGCCTGGGGGGCCTGGGGGTACGGGGTGCTCACTGCTGTAGGCCAGCACAAAGCTGCCGCACTCCTGGGAGCTGCCGGACTGGTCGGTCGCGTTGACACTAAAGATGTCGTCGGCCATGAACTGGGAGACGTTCATGTGGCAGGTGTACTGCGCGTGCGTGGCGTTGCGGCTGGTCCTGCGGAGGCTGCAGGAGGTGACTTTGTCCTCCAGTTCTCCATACGGGTCTAGCCTGGAGGAGGGAGCGATGGTCCCTGCTGGAGGCCGGGTGGGGGAGGCCTGGGCACCAACCCTCCCTTTCCTGGGCCGGCACCCCCGCCCCTGCAGGGAGCTTCCGGGGAAGCTGGTGGGATGGGGTTGGGGGACAAACGCTCTGACTTTTCAAACTGCCGCTGGGCAGAAGCAAAGGGACTTTGAGGTATCTGTAGGAGTTCACCACATAGTCACTATCCTCCTCCACGCCATCCTGCAGGACCAGGGTAGATGATGGGTGGATGGGACTCCCTTCTCTGCCCCATTTACTGGAATGGACATTGCTACGTGTGGCCCAGCACCCGTGGCTCACGCCTGGAATCTTAGCTACTTAGGAGGCTGAGATCTGAGGATGGCAGTTTGAGGCCAGCACAAAAATGGAGCTGTGATACACATGGAAGAGCAACTCGCTTTGAGTGGAAAAACTCAGGGACAGCATCAGGCCCGGAGTTCAAGCTCCAGGACCAGCATAGACAAGTGGGGTGGGGGGAGCAAATGTCTGCTGAATGAATACACTTCCGGCCTCCAGGTTGACCACAGGGCTGCCCGGAGAGGCCCTGGCTCTGGCCAAAGCCTGGGACTTTAAGCTCCCCCCCTGCTGCACCCCTCAAACCTTCCAGCTCCATTTCTTTCCTTCTTTTGCCAGTCCTGGGCCTGAACTCAGGACCCAGATGCTGTCTCTGAGCTCTTTTGCTCCAGGCTAGCGCGCTACCACTTCAGGTTTCCTGGTGGTTAATTGGAGATCAGAGTCTCCTGAGCCCGGGGCTGGTGGCTCAGGCCTGTCATCCTAGCTGCTCAGGAGGCTGAGATCTGAGGATCACGGTTCAAAGCCAGCCTGGGTAAGAAAGTCCATGAGACTCTTATCTGCAATTAATTACCTGGAAAGCCAGAAGTGACGCTGAGGCTTACGTGGTAGCGCGCTCGCCTTGAGCGGAAGGAGCTCAGGCAGCATCCAGGCCTAGAGTTCAAACCCCAGGACTGGCCAAAAAAGTCTCACGGACTTTCCTGCCAGGGCTGGCCTCAAACCGTGGTCCTCGCATCTCAGCCTCCTGAGTGGCTGGGACAGCAGGCGGGAGCCTTTGGTGCCCTTAGTAGCTCAAGACGCAGTCACTGTGCTGCTTATCTTACTGAACTCCCCTCTGAGCACACAGTAGGCTCAGCTCAGCCCCTCCCCGGTCCCCCCAGACCCCCGAGGTGGGGTGGGAGGTGGGGGGGTCCCTGGACACCTACCAGGTGAGGGTGAGGGGGTGGGGGTGGGGTGTCCACGTCTCCAAGACGCAGGTGATGGTCTCCAGGTAGTCGGTATAGCAGGAGAGATCCGAGCAGCCAAAGGCTCTGGTGGGGGGGCTCTCAGGGCTGCTGTGCATCTGGGGCCCTTTAAGACAGAGGCCCAGGGCTCAGGGATTCTTGTTTATTTTAGTCGGTCCTGGGGCTTGAACTCAGGGCCTGGGCACTATCCCTCAGCTCTTCAGCTCAAGGCGAGCGCTCTACCACTTGAGCCACAGCGCCACTTCCGGTTTTCTAGTGGTTCTTTGGAGATAAGAGTTTCACAGTCTTTCCTGCCTGGGCTGGCTTTGAACCTCGATCCTCAGATCTCAGCCTCCTGAGTAGCTAGGATGACAGGCCTGAGCCACCGGCGCCTGGCTTGGCTTGGGGATTCTGCTCACCTAGACTTTGCTTGTGCAAATGTCCTGGGGTCATTCCTACTGTGAACCAGAGTGACCAAGCCGTCTCCTCACAAGTACCCCACCCCCCAGGACCCTGAGCGTATCTCCCTCAGGACACCCCAGTCCTGAGTCCCCCCAGAGACAGGAGGGGTCCCCACCAAGAGCCTTGCTGAGGATGGGGGAGACGGGGCTAGAGCGGGGAGAGGTCAAGGCCAGTCCTGCAGGAGTCTGACTGCAGGTCTGCATGACCCTGGCCAGCCGCTCCCTCCCCCCCCCAGCACTTCCAGTCCCCCTCTGTCGGGATCACGTGTGGAGCCCTCCTGCCCTTTACTAGAAGCCTGTTCCCTTTTTCTCCTCCTGAAGCTTTGGCTTCAGTTTCGCTGAAGGATGACCACAGAGATGGCTGGTGCTGTGGCTTCCTCCGTGTCACCCTGAGACCTAGCCTGGCTTCTCAGCCCTGCCCCCCCCCAACGTGAGGCCTCCAGGCGGGCGCTACAGACCTCTGCTCTGCGGGAAATGCCCAGACTCATGGGGCCGTGGCAGACATTACTAATCAATGGCAGCACTCTCTCCCTGGTGCCATCATGGACTCCTCCTCCACGCAGCGCCTGGCAGCTTGCATGGCTGGCTGTGAGTCGGCTCTAGAAGGGACTTCCTCCTAGGGGGCTCCTCACCAGGCCCAAGGCCAAGGGGCAGAACCCGTCTCTTCCTCCTCCTCCTCCTCCTCCTCCTGCTCCTCCTGCTCCTCCTCCTCCTGCTCCTCCTCCTGCTCCTCCTCCTCCTCCTCCTCCTTCTCCTCCTGCTCCTCCTGCTCCTCCTCCTCCTGCTCCTCCTGCTGCTCCTCTTCTTCTTCTTCTTCCCCTCCTCCTCCTCCTTCTTCTTCCTCTCCTTCTGCCTGCCTCCTCTTCCTCCCCCTTCTCCTCCTCTTCCTCCCAGTATCATGATTCAAACCCAAGGCCTTGCGCTTGGTGCTCTACCCCCTGACCCATGCCTCCAGCCTGGCTCTTGGCTGGTTAATTGGAGATCAGAGTCTTTGCAGAGTGTTCTGCCCAGGCTGCTCTGTTGGACTGCAATCCTCCAGATCTCAGTCTCTGAGTGGCTAGGATCCATGTCCCTGCCTGTGAAGGCCCGGGGTGGGGGGGTGGGGAGGGATGTGGGAGAGCCCTGCCCCCACCCCCACCCCCCGCTTCCTGAAAGGGAAAGGTGACAGCCCAGCTTGCTTCCCGAGGGACCCGTTTGAGGCTCTGGGTCTCTTGGTGAAATCCAGAGTGGGCGCTGAGTCAGTGGGCAGAGCCACGGGTTCCCCCTTGTGCAGTGTGGGTGCCGGGCTGTGGGAAGGCCTCCTGGCCGCCCGTCCCGCCCCGGGGCCACAAGCCCCTGTCTCAGCCATGCTGGGCCTTCCAGGGGCTGCCTGCCAGACCTGCCAATTCCTTTGTCATCTCTTCGCTCCCCCCCCCAGCGCCTGTGGGTGGGGGACCCCCTCCCCAGGGCCCAGTGGCTGCAGAGAGAGGATTCTCCAGGAAAGCCAGGATAGGAGGAGGAAGAGAGGTTAGACCAAAGGCAGAACTTCCTCACTGCCCCCCACCTGGCTTGGCTTTGGGGGGCGGGTAGTTACTTACCAGTCTGCAGCATCAGCAGGAGCAGGAGGGCGGCCCAGCCCAGAGGCATGCTGTGTCCACACCTGAGGGAGGGGGGGGGAGGAGGGGGAGGGGGAAGAGGGGGAGAGGGAGACCATGAGCTGGCTGGCCTCCTCCTGAGGATCTCCTCCCTCCCGGCCTCCCTGGCCGACTCGCTGTCATCCTGAATCTGTCAAGAGCTGGGGGAGGGGGAGAGGGGAGGGGAACCCCCCCACAAAATCAGACCCCCCCAAGATGTGATCACCCCTGGGTGGGGGGGGTGCGGGATCAGGGAAGGGCAGCCAGGGCTATGCTACCCGCACCCAGGCTCAGAGACGGCGCTCAGGCCCGAGTTCAAGCCCGAGGGGGGGCCCATGCCCATGCGGACCCCAAGGAGGAGGGACACCGTGGGGCCTGGGCGCCGGCCGGGGTCACACGGGCCCCTCACACGCATGCGCGTGCACACACACACACACACACACACACAGCTCTTGGCCGCTGGTTCCCCTGCAGCGCCCCCTCTCCAAGCCTGGGCAAGCTGGGGGGGGGTGTTGAACGTTGGGGAGTGTCTACCCCGCCCCCTCCCCGGTGACCCCGTGGGGTCCAATGTGAAAGGTCAGGGCACAGTAAGAGCAAAACATGCCCTCTCAGAGAACTGTCAAGATTTTGGGACTTCCCAAAAGGGAACCCTGCGCCTGGCCAGGCCTCTGGTTCCTCCTGCTCCTCCCAACTGTGGCCAGGGACCCCCCTCACCCCCCACTGGCCTGTGAGACCCCAGTCTGCCCGTGGGGTGCAGGAACGTGGGCTGCTTGCAGCTCCCCCACACACCTGCTCCCCTGCCCTCCACCAACACAACTCTCTGCGTGCAGCCTGGCCCGTCAGACTCCTACTTGGCCTTCAAAACCCAACTCAAATGTCAACCTCTGTCTGTCAACGTCTGACCTCTCCGGAGAGGCTGAGTCAGCCGCCCCTCCGCCCTCCAATGCCAAGCAAGCCTCCGCGGGCCGGGGACTGCGTGGCGCTGAGCCCCCCGAAGCTCAACACACGGTCATGGCCGCGACTACACGAGTGCCAAACGTCTCCCCACTGCTGACTTGTGAAGATGACCTCAAGGATGAAGGCCCAGGCGGGCTGGGGACCCCCGAGTCTACACCCGGGTCTCTTTTCTTCTTTCTTCTACCCAGTGCACTTATGTGGTTGGAGAGAACAAATTGGTCCATACTCCATCTCTTTCCCTGCCACTGGACTTTTGCACATTCTCTCTGTCTGTAGTGCCTTCCTCAGCTACTTTACATTCTCATCCTCTGGTCCCAGCCTCCGTGCTTTGCTCTCAAAGATGCTGGGCGGTCTTCTCTGTGGTCCTCCAGGCCAGCTCCCTCCTTCTTCTCCCCCACAACATCTGCACCCCGAGGGCTGCTCTGCGTGCGTCTCCTGTCTCTGTCCTGGCTTCCCTGCTTTGTTCGCCCGCGCTGTTACTGCAGCACAGAACCACATCCAGGGCACGCCGTGTGTTTAACACGTCACTAAAGGAGAGCGAGGAATGAGTGAATGATGAATAAGTGCATAAATGAATGAACAAGGAAATGAATAAGGGGGTGAATCAACGAATGGGTGAACAAGTGAATGAGGGAATGAATGAGGAAATAAATGAATAAGAGAATGAGTGAGGGTCAATGAGCAAGTAAACGCATGAGTGAGTGAATGAATGAATGAGTGAGTGAATGAATGACTAGATGAATGAGTGAATGAGTGAGTGAATGAATGAACAATGAGTGAGTGAGTGAATGAATGAATGACTAGATGAGTGAGTAAATGAATGAGTGAACAAGTAAGAAAATGAATAAGTAAATGAGTGAGAGAATGAATGGGTAAATGAATAAGTGAATGAGTGACTGAATGAGTGAATGAATGTGTATGTAAATGAATAAATGAGTGGTAATGAATGAGTGAGTGAATGAATGAGTGAATAAGTGGGTAATGAAGGAATGAATGAATAAGTGAATGAGTAGTAATGAATGAGTGAATGAATGAGTGACTAGGTGGGCAATGAAGGAGTGAATGACTAAGTGAATGAGTGATAGTAAATGAGTGAATGGGTGAATGAATGAATAAAAAATGAGTGAATAAGTAAGTGAGCTGGGAGGGAGGGAGGGGTCACAGGGGCGGAGGCCTGGCCTGTCAGTCATGCTCTGTCTCCAGGAAGTCTCTGCCCCACTCCACGCCCCCCCCGGCCCCCCGTTGGCACCCAGCCTGATTGACGGGGGGGGGGGGACTTGCAGATCAGAGGGGTCTGTTCCCCGTTGCTGGCCCCTTCCTCACAGCCAGGACCCCTGAGTGGAGGTGTGTGTGTGGGGGAAACAGCCTGAACCTCGCTGACCCGGAGGGGCCCAGCCCAGCCTCCACTGGCTCTGTCACGGGCCCGGCCTGGGATGGGGAGGCAGAGGCCGGAGGCCCGGCCATGGAGGCTGCCTTCAGCAGGGTCCCCTAGTGCTGGGCAGGCAGGGGGCGGGTTAGGCAGAACCTGAGGACCCGGGTGCAGCTTAGCAGGTGCAAATTGAGCACATTTGTCTGCCCAGGCCCCCAGGGCGGGACAGCAAGTCTACACACGCAGCCCTCCCTCCAGCGCCCTCCTGCAGCTCTGGTCACTGCCCTTCCCTGCAGACCCGCTGGGGGTAAAGCTCTGGATCACAGCTGTGGGAGCCCATGAGGCTGGGAGCCAGGGTCAAGCTGGCTCTGTTCCCAGCATCCCCTCCCTCCTGGCCTGTGCGGGTCACCAGGGGAGGGGAGGCTGGGCGCACACCGTGGGCACAGTGCGCAAGCCCAGCCCCGGCGCCACCCCAAGCCAGGCAGCAGCAGCTCACGCCTGCCATCCCAGCTCCTCAAGAGGCTCAGATCTGAGGATCGGGGTTCGAAACCAGCCAGGGTAGGAAAATTCGTGAGACTCTTATCACCAATGAACCACCAGAAAACCGGAAGTGGCGCTGTGGCTCAAAGGGTAGAGCACTCAGCTTGGGCTGAAGAGCTCAAGGGACTGTGCCCAGGTCCCGAGTTCAAGCCCCAGGACTGACAAAAATGAAAAACAGAGGCCCAGAGAGGTCAGGAGCTTTATCTTGGTCACACAGCAAGGAAGGAGCAGGCCCCAGTGAGACGCACACTGGTGGTTTTGCGGTCCTTGCTGGAGACAAGCTGGGTATCGGGTCCCCAGGGGGGTCTGCGGGGAGGGCTGGATCTGGGGAGCAGGTGGCCCTGAGTGCGTGTCGGGACTCACGAGGTCCTGCCCAGGGCTCAGCGTTTCACATTGACTCAGAGTGTTCATCTGAGCTGTTCTGTAAAGTCCCATTCGTCTGGAACCAGCAGGGGGGGGGCGCTGACACCTGGGGGTTTCTGGCCCCCCCCAGAGAAGTGTATGAGAAGGGGGTAGCGTGGGGTGCACAGACCTCCTCCCTTAGGCACAAGCTCCACCCGGGCCCTTCTGAGTGGCCTCCTCTGAGCCAAACGGAGCCTCAGAGAGCCTGCGGAGCCCCAGGACGAAGGCGTCGGAGCCGATAGTAGATGCTCAATTAAACTCTGTCTGTCCAGCGGGAGCCCGGGGAGAGAGCAGGAAGTCCACGCTTGCATTTGTGGCTCTGGAAGGGCCCTGGTCCCTTCCTGTCCTGACGGTTCCCGGCCCCCACTCTCCACCAGCCCCCCGGGGTCTGGAGGCCGGCACTATGATATCCCCCCCAGTGGTAATGGCTGCCCGCTGCCCTGCTCCTTCCCAGAAGTGTCCTACGGGTACCCGCCATCCCTTTGCGGGTTGCCTGGCTGTCTCAGCCTACGAATGGATCCCCAAATCAGCCCTGCCGCTGCGGGTCGCCCTTTGCCAGGGGCAGGTTGTTGTTTTCCTCCACTGAGTCTCAGTCTTACCATCTATAAAATGGACGGCCCCAGCCATCAGCCTGGCACACCAAGGGTTCGGGGAGACCCGAGGGTCTGGGGTCACAGTGGTGGGGGAACCGGAGCCCTGGGGCTGGGGACAGCATGACCCTGGCTTGCCCTTGTCCCCTCCACCTGTGCTGCTCCCGGAGTCTGGACCTCCTCCGACTCACGCCTGTAATCCCAGCTGCCCGGGAGGCTGAGAT